ACAATACTAGGTACTTTTAACTTTATTGAATATTGTGTGACCATTAGTATTTTGCAGTCTTTTGTGTGATTGGTCAAATTATTTTTATTAGATATATTAAATAATATTTTTTAGTTGAAAAGTAATTTCTTAATATCCGTGTTTTTTGCTAAAACAACTTATATTTTGAAACAGAGGGAGTACTTGTTACTTGAAAGTATTTGAAAATCAAAAAAATCTCCATACAAATTACAAAACATTCAAAGTTCTTACAAAACATTCAAGTTCAAACATCCTAAAATCATAAAATATTAAAGTTTCAAAAGATAATTTGCCCATAACTTCATGTATTAACAAGTAATTATTAGCAAATATCGAGGCAAGTAATGTAAACAAGTATCAAGCCGAGTAACGAGTCAAGTAGTAAAAAAATTTAGTTGGCTTCATACTTGGCTAAGACTTGCAAGTAATAGAATATGTGACTTGTTACTCGACTTGACCGGGACAAGTACTTGCTTTTTCAAGCCGAATACGGGTCGAATAGCGAGTACAAGCCGAGTAGCGAGTATTTGTGCCCAGGCCTACTACCGAAGACCTTAATTTTGTAAGGATTCAATGAATATTTTTGGTAATAAAGGCGAATATTTATTTGGTTACACAATCCAATGTAAATAAGCAATAACTAGAACTGACTCTGAATTTAGAGCTCTGAGGTGAGTGTTAGCCAGCCCACAGCCTCTTTGCTACAAAGAATATTGAAGTGAATATCGACAGAACTATTTTGTCTGTGTTGAACTTGAAACCATATAATAACATAAATCCATATCTCTAAACATTCGATTCCCAGTTTAGATAAACAGAGATGTGTCATATGCAAGAAACAAAAACATACTCCATTTCTAGTTAGACTGAGTTTCAACAGCACAAAAGACTTGGTTACAAAATAAGATTATGGCGACCATATTACTACATCAATAGATTAACCATTATCATGTTGGCTCTATTGAGCCAAAATCGTAATAAACAGAATATGAACACTTTTTCTCAAATTCTCAAGACAATGGAATCGATTACCGCAGTTCGGATTGATCAAGCATGTTTTTTGCTGGTAACATTTTTCATTGAACGTTCTTATAGAACCCTTTTTACAAAGAAAAGAGCTGGTTCAAGAATACGAAGGTTAAAAGCATAGAATTGAATGTGGATGAGAGTTACTATAAATCGATATG